AAATATTTACGTTAAGGTTCAGTTAAAAAAATATTTTGAAATACGGCTTCCCTTAATTTTACTGTACTTGATAAAGACCCAACACACCCATATTTTATATACGAAAACTACAAAAAAGCTTTATTTAAAAACAGGCAAGTGTAAGATAAGACTAAGAAGAACAAATACTTTACAAATTCTTAAAGCTGTATTTTGGAATTAATAGAAGTGTTTTAAAATTACTTTGTCTTCTCTTATTTTAATAGATTGTTTCTTTTTTTGTCCTTATTTAGTTGTACGCCATATATCGACATCGGTTTGCAAGCATTTTCTATATTTGTAGTTGGTGAGGCCAATGGAGTACAAGGGATTTGAGGCCTTATAAAAGTGCAGACCACGTCCGATTTTGATTATATACCCATTGCTCAAGCTATAAATAAGGTCAATAGATTAGATATGTCATAGGCTATAAATTGTCGTACTTACAATATTTTGCGATCGTGCAGAGTGTCCTCGTACTTGATATAGAAAGCAATTTGACGACGCTCTAGATCGGCTTTAATTTGGCCCAAATTAGTTTTCTGCTGATCCAGGTTGTTTGTATCTTTTTTGGTGATCAATCGAATGTATTTCAAATGCTTGCAGTTTGTCACAGCCAGCTCCAAGAAGCGAATAAGATTTTGAAACTATAACGAGCAGAGAAATTTTAATATTATCGCGCTGGTTAACTTCTATAGGTATAAAGAGTTCACCTGATAGTTTTGTGCTAAATACGGCTCTTCGAGCATAATTTCAATGGTCTTATCGGTCATATATTGACCGAAGATTTGATCGTAATCGTTGCCCGTATCGTTCTCTTCGATCGACAGGTGGGTGACCACCTCGCCGAGCATCATTTTGCCATTTACCCTCGCTTTGATGGCATCTGCTCGATCGATGTACTCTTTGATTCGGGTTAGAAAACCTTTTTTCTTCACTTCATCCGGTTCGCTGTGTACAAACGACATCAGCTGCGCAATACCATCTTGATAAAGTGTTTGAGCTTCCAAAATTCTACCACTCTGATCGCATTCGACTGCGCGTATTAAGAGAGCTTTACCTAGCATTGCGTCGCTCATTTTGTCAGATGTTAAATACTTTGGATTAGATTATAATGGCAGTCACACTATATTATTAACTATTTAAATATACATAAATATGTTTATTTAATGTTTATTGACACGATTCGAGTGCATTTCACTTTTGTTTTGATAGCAAGCAATCAGCTGTTCGGTGTGGCAGCATTTATTTAAAATACTAAAATTTTAAAATGAAATATCAGCAAATTATGAAAATGAATCTAATTAAGTGATCTATAACATAATAATTGACAAAGAAAGCATAAAATGTGTAAAGCTCTTCAGAACTATTAAATTTCTATTTAATTTCAATCGAAAGCACCATTCGTGTATTGATTGAGCACTAAATATGCCAGCAAAGAAATACCGGAAACGGTCAACAGTTAACACTGATTAATAAAAACGATAATCATCGATAGTTTTCGACAGCTGTTGGGATTTAAATATATATTCGCTTGTTGGGTATCGATGTTTGCACTCTAATGTCACAATAAAAAGAAGAAACTAATTCTAATTTTTATCAAGCCATAAATATGGTATGTGCTTAAAAAGAGTATAACCATTTAATGTAGTAAATTATTAGGTATTAAGAATGACAGAAACTAAATTTCCATTCCGGAAATGCTCGAAATATATATCGAAAGTAGTTTTTGTGGCGGAAACGATAATCAAGCGGCTCACCGGCAGTTGGGTTTTGAATTTGTAGGAGCTGCTATCTAGCTATGTAGGCAAACAGTCCAATAATGTCATAAATATTCAGTTTTCGTTTTATGTTTATGCCACTTACAACCAATTACCTGAAAACGAAAGCGTTTTATCGTCAGCTAGCAGACAGCAGCCAGCAGCCAGAAACCAGCAGCCAGAAACCAACAACGCACAGCCCTGTCCCTGCTGGCCACCGGATACTCGTAAAGAAATTGAATTTCACTAAGCCAAATATTAATTTATTTGTGTTTTCATTTCTTGCGCATTGGCAGGTGATCGACCACGAAGGGGGCGAGGCTGCGGACCATTGCTGACGGTGGCTTTGCGCATCCAATCGAATTCGAAGCATTTGGGTGACGACTGCTGTCCAGTACTTTTATTTGTGTCATAAATTTTAAGCCATTTGGGAGCTGTGAACGTCAGCTTTTAAATGCTTCCCAGCACACACACTCATACAAATTGAACGAAGGGACAAGTAATAGATTTCAATATTTGTTTTAAATGATATAAAAACTCTTGCAAATTTAATCTATCTGCATAAGAATATTTAAATTAATCGTTGGCATTTTCAGGCTGTTTGGTTAAATATAATATTATTTAGATTCAATTATAAGATTATTTGTCAAGTTTTAAGTATATATAAAAATACGTTATTTTCAAACAAGGCTCAAATGCTTTAATTCAACGGCCTGAAAGTATGCAACAATTTACGGCATATCCAAATTATTTGCCATCTGTGATAAAGGCATCTTTAGTTTTTCTTTTTTTTTTTTTTTCGCTTGCATAAACATTTAGCCACTCTCTAATGCCACTCTTGACTAACTTTTCTTTGGGAATTAACTGAATTGTATCTTGTAAAACACAAATTCAAGTGGGCTAAAGCCCGTTTGCTGCTCAAGGCTTCAGAGCCTAGAGAGCTTCTTCACATGTCACCCAATAATGCCCTGTGTGATGTGCGAAGCCACTTGCCACAGGGGCCCGTGGCCCGGGGGGCGGGGGCGTGGCCAGGGTCTGGGTCCGGGTCTGCCATTCGGGCCGGGGCAATGGTTAGCTCATATTACGTTTATCTTGGCGCCAGCTTTTTATCGACGATTATTTTCCTTCAACTGCTGTGCGTGTGTGTGTCTCGCTGTTGCTGCTGTTGTTGCTGTTGTTGTTGTTGTTGCTATTATTGTTGTGCGTTCAATATTTGCTTGCTACTAGCTACGATTCTCTGTCTCTCTCACTCACGCACGTTCAGACTGAGCTTCCTTTTTTTCCGCAGCCTTTTTCTCGTTGATTTTTATTTGTTTCTCTTTCAATTTATTTTGCCATTTCGTTTTCCTTTCTGCTGTCATTGTTGTTGTTGTTGTTGTTGCCATTTTCATCGCTTTTATTACAAATACAAGCAACACAGACTCACACACACATAGATACATATGGGTAGCTCTAACATTGTGTGTCCTTCACAGCCGCAGTGCGTGTAGCTTTCACTCTATCTCTGTCTTTCTCTCTCTCTCTCTCTCTCTCTCCCTGCCTCTCTGTCTGTGTGTGTGTGTGTGTGTATGTGTTTGTGTTTGTGTTTGTGTTTGTTTGCTACTAAATGTGCTGCTCAGTCCGCCACTCATTTATGTCGTCGATGTGCCCCGCCTTTCGTTAACGTTTCAGTTTTCCACTTGATGCTATTTATGTTTGCTTCCATTTTTCAAGAAGGATCAAAATTTATATTGGCTAAAAAGTCCCTCGAGAGCTTTCACACAGCTTCCTTACAGCTGTAACAAATTGTAACACAATCGTCGAACTGTTCAGCCCAAATCATAACCTCATGAACTTCAAAACAGGACATGCCAGGACACTCGCCCATTACAGCTGGCTCCTGCCATCACGCCTTGACTCGACTCGACTCGCCTTGCCTCGATTCTCATCTGTGCTGCGAGCAATTGAATTGAGCTGCAATTGTTTTGATTTTGTGGCCCCCAAGGCCTGCGTTATTCGACGTATCCTTCACACACATACACACACACACACTCCCACGTGCACACTCCACTCATATCCTTAAATTCAGCTCATATCCTGGCGGCTATATATCAGTTGCTTTCGTATTTATCGCCGCACTTTCGTCAAGTGTGTGCAAAATGTAATAAACAATAGCAGCAGCCGTATCTCAATTTATGTTGTTGCTCCTTAAAGGTGAGAGAGAGTGCTCGTTGGCCCTAGCGTATCCTAGTTGCTTGCGGTCTTGGTGCTCGGTTCTGTTGCTGGTCCTGGTCGTGGTCCTGGTCCTGGTCCTGCTCCTGGTCTTGGCCTTTGTCTCCCCTGTTACGGTTGCGCGTCAGTTTCCAAATTAAGCACACAAATTGATGATGTTAACAATGACGATACGAAAATTGACTTCGCTTGCATGACTGGCAAACAAGTTTCGCAGGACGAAAGCTGCGGGCCACAGCTCAAATGGAAATGGGAAATGGCGAATGGCGAATGGGCAGGATTTCTGGTGTGGGCAACTATCGCAGCCATATTTCATATTTCGAGCGAAATGGCTTTAATGTTTTCACATTTGCTTTGTTTGGCTTTGGCTTTGATGGACGCCCAGCCCCCACCCACCATCCCCTCTCTCTCAGCCCCGACCCCCAACTAGCCCCAGCACACAGCGTGGCCCTTGCACAGGATGGCTCGACAAATCAATTGAAAACTGACAGTTGTGACTAAACGGCGCATATTTCCTTGACATCTGCGTTGGAATCTGTGTCTGTAGCATATATACATAGATATGTGTGTGTGTATGTGTGTGCGTGCGTCTGTGTGTGTGTGTGTGTTTCATGCATATTTCTGTATTGGATTTCAGTCCATTACGCGCAGCGTTTGGGAATTGGATATTGGCTTTTATATGAGGCCTGTTGCCTGCTGCTGCTCCTGCTGCTCCTGCTCTTCCTGCTGCTTCTACTTCAGTTCTTTTTGTTGTTTTGGGCTGTTGGCTCTCTGCTTGCATTAACGAAGTTCACGCACGCTAGAGGCTAAGAAAATGTCAGGAACTTGATTTATCCTGTCCAAGCGCTGCGTGTTTGGCCACAATCAATCGATTGCCACAGCCGGCTGTTTGTAACTGTCGTTCAGGGCGTGCCTAGGCTTCAGGTCCACGACGAACTCTGCCTGCACCCACAAACGAGAACAAAAATCGAGACTATTGGAACTTGTTTTGCTGTTGCTTGTAGCTGAGCATTACTGACTGCATAATACTTGTTGAAAATTAAATGAAATAATACAAATTGAATTAGCGATAGATGTTGATCCTCAGATTAGAGCTTTACATATCGATTGAAGAGATTGACAGCATAGTTGATCTATCTATATATCTACCATATATCTGTATATATAGATCAGATTTCTAGATGGATCAGAAGAGTCAATAGTTGCATTAGCTCCACATTTATAGTAATTTTTATGATTAGCCAGACGGCAGTAGACATAGAAAGAAGGCTCCAACATATGTAATGTATTAAAAATTAGGTTAAAAAAAAAAACCTAAACTATATATTAAAAATATATATTATAAAATTTAAAGTCTTCATCGTCTGTTTATCAAAGCTACCTACAAAGCTGATATACTCACCTTTTCAGCACTGCCTGAACGAGCAACAGAAAATGGCAACAGCAACAATTACGTCAAGGAAACTCAACCAGGCAACAGCTGAGCGAGCGCGCACAGTGCGATAATTAAAATCCGTTACGCGCCCTATAATTAGTTGCATAGGCTCCGATTCGAGCGTTAGCTGAAGGTGCTCCTCCTGCCGCTCTTCCGCCTGCTCGCCCATTTGCTATACATTCATTCACATCCGGCATGCTTTACATATACATGTATGTATGTATGTATATGTATGCATATAGCTATCTATTTTTATGGACATGTGCGTAAGCGATCCGTGCGAAAAATGGGCGCTTCGCGGCAATTACCTTTGGCTCCAAGGGAGATTCATCCATTGCGATAAGCGGCCCCAATGTTTCGACCAGTTCAGCCCTTGCCGTAGCTGCCCGTCTCTACGCACCTTTCGTTCGTCATGCAAATCAGTTTGACTCGACTCGACTTGACTTGGCCAAGGACCTCACTCACATACACATACACGCACACAAGCACACAAGCACACACCCACACGCACACACAGACATGTGCGTAACACACGCTTTAGCCAGAGACAACAAGAGGAACACCTCCACGTAACGAGGGTCGCTCCAACGGGCGTAAAAAAAATAACCACACCCAGAGGCCAATAGAAATTAATTCCCTTAAGCTGTCCACTTCTTCAGCTTTGTCCGAAACGCAAAAGAATTTGTATTTAATTGAACTCTTGATACTCTTGAAAAGGGTATTTTCAATTTGTTGGGGAGTGTGTCACGAGAGAGCAGAGAAGAGAGACATAGAGAGGCTGTTCGTTGATATATGCAAATGAGTGTGTTGAGAGGGAGAGCAAGTCCGAATACTAGTCTCGCATTCTCTCTCTCTATCTCTATAACTATTGGATGATTTATTTTCTCTAGATCCCAAATCTTGTTTGGCTCGATGATTTCTCTTCCTTGCCCATTTTCTCTCTCACTCTTTCTCTCTCCGTAGCTTAAAATTTTTGTAGAATATTATCAATGTTATTTTTTTCGATCTCTCATTCTTTCTCTCCCTTTCTCACTCGCTCCCGCTCACCCTTAGCAGTAAGTGTATTATTCGTTTCTATTACTTCTTGCATAATACATTTTTTCTCAGAAGAAGAAGTGCGAGCACTGCGAGACTTTGCTGAAACGCCCTCGCTTGCAGTCCACTCTAGAGCAGAGAGACCAGAGGCAACCGGAAGTAGCCAAGTTTATCTTATTGCATTGCAAAATGTGAATCGGAACATCCGTTTCTAAATGCCAGGCACTTTAACCCCATCACAATCAGTGCGGCTAGGTAGTGCCTGGCTGGCATGGAGCTCTTATGCAATGGGGCTAGAGCTGGAAAACTTCGTCTCGTGCGACGTAATTGAAATTGACCAAAGCTGCGAGAGCGAAGCCAATGCCAAAGACTTATATAAAGCTTATATAATTGTGCCGCCACTTTTAAGATTTATAAAATCTTTCGCACACCGAAAAATCGCCCTCTTCCCACTCTCTATATTCCTCGCTTTTTCTCGCTTTCATTGTCTTTATTTTCATTGTGTTTTTTTTTTTTTTTTTATTTTTCGGCCCTGTTGAAGCGCGTTTGTATTAAGCCAGCTGGACGGCTTTTCATTAAGACAACTGAGAGGGGAGAGAGGGTAGGAAAGCGTGGAAAGGAGGCGTGGGTGGTGGCTTTGTGGGTGTTTGGGTGGTTTTCCGCTGAGAAGTGTGCAATGTAAATAAATGGATAGGAAGAAATCAACGTTAAAATAAATGACACTAAAACTGTAGACGGTTTGTTTTTGTTTTTGCGAGCTTCTATTTTTTTTTTTTTTGGCTCTCTTATTTTTTTGTTTTCACTGTTGCTGCTACTGCTGCTGCTGTTGCTGCTGGCTTTGCTCTTCAATTGGCTATTAAGCAAATTGATTCAGTTAAATTTATCTTAATGCAATCTCCGCTCATTCCACCCAGTAGCCTGCCCGCCCAACGGCCAGATAGTGCATAATTTGAAGGGCATAGCGAGAAAAAAAAAACACAGACACACACACAAACAGAATACAGCACAACATGGCAACAATTCACGCACACAACAACAAAAGCAAAAGGCAAAGCAGCAGCAGAAGCAACAAAAGATACACGTACTTGTAGATACTGCCAGTCCGACACATGCCACTGTGACAAAGACGAATACAAAACAAGCCGGAGTGGGCGACTGCCCGACTAGCAGATACCCTAACAGGCAAAGGGAGTTATTTTTAATAGTGTCCCAAAGACCCTCGGAGATTTTTGGAGAGCTCTCATAAATTTTCTATATATACATAAGCTGGAAAGCAAATTAATTTGAAATGTTTATGCATATATCGATTAAAATTATTGTTAACATTAAATAAGACTGTGCATACTTAAGAGACATAATCTTATATTAATTCAAGATGTTGCTTAAACTTAACCTAATTTCGATTTTAATCGATGGGCAAATACTAATCGAAGCTTTAAAATGGTTCGCAGAAGTGATTCGATGACTAAATTCCTGCTCCACTCTTGATGCTAATTAACTACGTCTCCTGCTGTCTGTTTTAGTGCATACTCTCTTCACACATCTTCACGGACTAGCAGGGGACTGACTGAAAGGAAAAGGTCCAATCTGTGTGCCCAGCCAGAGATGGAGTCAGCGTCACAGTTCGAGCCACCGCAGCCGCAAACAAAGTCCCAATGCCAATAGCAATCCCCAGGACCTCAATTGAGCCTACCATTTCTGCCCGCAAGGATGACAACAACAATGAGGATGGAGAGAGACGACGCCCATAAAGCGCTCGAAGCGTGAAAAACAAGGGTGAATGGTGGAAAAGTTACAGAAAAAAAGCATTAGAAAATATATCTGGCTGGGCTTAAAAAGCGCGCTGTTGATTGTTTTGCTGGATAACAGCGAACCCCGTTGCCAATCTGGCCCCAGCTCCATCTATCTGTCTTTATATATATATATATGTATATGTGTATGTACATGTTTATATGTATGGCTCCACGCTGCCTAAGGGTTGCTCTGCTGCTGGCCAAAAACTATTTGGTCTATCTGTGCCAGTGGGCAATCTTTTGCTATAAGTATATCTAGCTGGATATATCGTGGCCCATTGATCGGGCCATAAACAGCATTTTTGTCCGACTCATAGGCAAATCATATAAATTATGCTCAATTCTTGCCGTTGCCTTTTAATAAGCATAAAACCTTATGATATGTGAAAATGTGCGCGCGTAACAGCAACAACAACGACAGCAACAAGGACAACAACAAGGATGACGGCTGAAGACGCTCGGGAAGGGGAGCACATTCTTGGCAGCCTCCAGCTATGACTACTTTATAATGGGTTTATTTTTTGCAGCTAAGCCGGCAGATTTTCAATATAAGCCGATGGCTTGGATATTTTTTGCTGTTGTTTGTCGTTTGAGTCACTTTTTCATACATTTATCACCTTTAGCCTGGAAAGCATTCAAATTGGTAAGAGAAGAATGTTTTTGTAGTATAAGGTATGGCTAATATACATATTGTACATATATGTACATATACGATATCGATTAATAACTCTATTTTATTTATTGGTTTCTCCATGTGTATTTCAAGCTCAGATTCTAGTGCGATCTATACTTATTTCGTAACTTAGATTCAGTCACAAATATGAAACTCGATTCATTTGAAAATTGTAATTTTAACTTGATAATATCTATTTAAATCATATTTGTTCACACTTTTTAGAGTTTTAGCTGCTGGCGACTTTAAATTTGCGAATATAACTCCAATGAAACGAGATTAAGAGAGAAGCAAGCAAAGCAGTAAAGTCTAGTTTAAGCTCACATATTTGTTTATACAGTTCTGTATGTACAGAACGGAAGTCAGCTCAAATATACCCCAATTATGCTCAGACTCGCCCAAAGCTGCTAGCTGCCAATCAGTGCAATCAATTTCAAAATTCTTCTTAATAATTCGTTTGAGCATCGCTTTGAGCAGCTCTTGCAATTGCTTGCTATCGATTGGAGTCCATCGTCGCCATTGACAGCTGCTTATTGAAGTAAGCTATTTGCTAAAGCCCAACTGCAAATCCTGTCATTATCCTTGGCTGCCAGCATTCCATCCTTTGCCACATTTCCCCCTCTACGCTAAGTGCACAGAAATAAAACGCGCTTTGCAAGTATTTTGTTTGTTTTTTTTTTTATACATTTTTTTCAGATTTTTTTCATATTTTTATTCACTATGTTTTGTTCGATTTTTTTTTTTCATATTTTTTGGTTTTTATATTTTTCTCATTTACTACGCAAGTTTGCATTTTCATTTATTTACTTGTTCTTCATTTTCTTTTCTCATGTATAAATTGTTCATGTGTTATGAAAATATAATATAATATACTTATGTACGTTTATGTTTTACAGAATGCTTGGCTTTTTTTCCATCATCTCCATCATCTTCTTCTTCTTGTTTTTTAAGTATTTTTTGTTCTTGTTTTTTAGTAACTATGCTTTTAACTTTGCCTTTCGCCTTTTATTTTCATTTTGTATTATGTTTATATATATATATGTGTGTGAATGTGTGTACTTGTTGCTGTATGTGTGCATATATACGCCGCTATAATGCTGTATTATAATAAT